TAACTCTCTCTTTCATCCCCTTGCATTCTCTACCATTGCATTACTATTCATGCACAAGTTTTACATACATTACCCATTTTCTTTCGAAACCATTAACCTTAGATGTATTCCAACATCAGACTTAATACTGTAATTCCTTCTTGAACTGTGATAACATAGGCATTATCTTTCGAAGCTTACATTTATAAACAGTGCGCGAAATAGTTTCCAAATTTTGTTAGCCAGTCGGGCTAGCCATGCCTGAAAGTTACTTGCCCACAAAATATAATTCACTAGCCCGAAATTTGAATGAAGAAACTAAGCAAAAGGTTACAAAAAAGGTACATGTCTTTGAGAATAAGACACGGGTTCATGACACGGGTTCATCATTAAGCTGCTCATATGATGAACATTTTTTTACGGTCATAATCTTTTGCATTATTTAAAAGTGTATTATAACTTAACTAGTCGGAGAAAGTGACATATTTACAAAATGGCCCCATGAACATTCACTAGCCAGTCGGGCCAGCGACTGTGGAGATTTACTGGCACAACTGGATTTTACTAAACACGGGCTATCGGGCCAGTGGTCATTTCGCACACTGTTTATAAATATGAGATTTGGCTAGTCGTAGTATCAAGTCAAAAGTATCATCGGTATCAGATGTGGGTAAACATCCAAGAAGGGTCAAATCACCTTGAATATATAAAATACATGTCCAGCCAATGTGAAATTTGTAACAAAAGTTCTTGCTCAACAATTTACTGCTCTATTGATTCAGGTTCTGCCTGTTATAGACCGCCGTCAGATATATATACAGGGAATTTTGTCAAGTGCAGCGTTGAACAAGAAACAAGCAAGCAATTTTAAACACATATCAGAGACAAGTTATAAGATATGACAAGATATGCTATGCTTACTGCATAAGCTCTGTGAAAGTACAATGATGGAATGTGTTTAGTGAAAATACAATCAAGATATTTACATTTCCAATCATACCCAAAGTAGGCTTACATGTAGATATAACCGAATGCTTTGGAATACAAGGAAATGAGTCCAATTTCATCAATACCAATACAATTCAAATGATCATCAAATCGCATTTTTAAGTGTCGTGTTTTCTAAAATACATTATATTCATGTTTTATAATATTGTACTGTCTTTATTCACAAAGTTTATGTTACTAATTTAAAGAAAACGAAGAATACATTTCGGTTAGTGTGCATACTATCCAAATGGACAACGCAAAATGAATTATGTCTGCGGAAATTTAGGTTAAACGTATAATAAATATTTTCTTCTGGCTTGAAAGAATAGTGTATGAATGAAACAGAACTACTGGAGAAATAGTCTATCACAGTCCCTGAACCGCATTATTTTTTCTTCCAGTCCTTCCCTGCAATGCTAAAGCCCTAAATGTAGCAAGTCTGGATTTCCCAAGGTTCAGGTACTCTGAATCTCCCACCTCACTGGGGCTCCTTTTCAGTTTAAAGGAACTATTAGTTCTATCACAATTATATATACTCAGAGGCAAAAGGTATAGTGGTTGACTTGAAGTTAAATATGTGAATTAACAAGTGATATTTTTATGATGAAACTTATTTAATATTGCAAGAAAATCATTCCACAATAGGACTGCAAATGGCACATTTTCAACTTTTGTGGTAGACACATGCTAATGAGGTCACACTGAGAGAACGGTCAAAATGAAATTCACATAGTCAATAACGTGGATAGCCACCATGAGTATTGATGTATGCTTGACACCTGCGCCGCATTGAGTCAATCCATCGTCGCAAGAAGTGAGTGAGTTTAGTTTTACGCCGCACTTGCCAATATTCCAGCTATATGGCGGCGGTCTGTAAATAATTGAGTCTGGACCAGACAATGCAGTGAACAGCAGCATGAGGATCGATCTGCGCAATTGGGAACCGATGACATGTGTCAACCAAGTCAGCCGATCCGGTTAGTCGCCTCTTACGACAAGCATGGGTTACTGAAGATAAATATTTTAACCCGGACCTTCACGGGTATCGTCGCAGGAAAACTTGTGGAATATCATTGAATATCTGATGAGGAAGCACCTGGCGGAGTCAGAGAGAAAGAGAGAGAGAAACCCAACGTCTCAATCTCAACTCCATTTCGTCCCAGACGTGTTTGACAGGGGACAGATCTGGGGAGGACGTGTACGTTAACATTGTGCTGCGCCAAGAACTGCTGAACCACCCTTGCGACATGAGGTCCGGCGTTGTAATGCTGGAAGATCATTCCTGGACCAATCTACTGGAGAAACGGTATGGCGACCGGATTAACAATTTCGTCTCTGTACCTGAGATTCGTTAAATTTCCATTGATGACAAGCAAAGGTGTACGTCCAGCAGAATGTATCCCACTCCAAATCATCACTCCACCGCCGCCGAAACGGTCGGTCACAAGGAAACAGTTCCTAACATAACGCTCAACACGTCGCCGGTCAACTCGGGTCGGCCATCAGTGCGCTGCAAGAGGAATCTAGACTTGTCAGTGATGAAAATATGTTTCCACCCTCTGCCGTAATGTCAAAATGTGTTGTCTGGCAGGACGTCTAGCACGTATCACGTGAGCAGCCAGACGCAGGCGAATAGTACTTGGCGATACCCTGTTGACACCGAAACTGTTCGGGCTGTTGGAATCTCAGGCGCAGATGGGTGGTTCGAATCCAACGATCGTTGAGCGACGTAGTTATAGGTGGACGGCCACTTCTTCGGGGACAGTGTGCAACGACGGCGTTTAGTTGATAACGTCTCCACAAGCCGCTTATGGTGTTCCTGTGCACAATAAACTGCTGTGCAACGTTACGCTGGTGTGTTCCGGTTTCATCGGCATCTTTCATTATCAGTTAGGCGTGGCATTGAGAAATGCAAGCAATTCGACCAAATTTGTGTTTTTCGGACCCGTCATTGTGTAAACAATGATTTGGATGTCAATGATTCGAGTTTTAGAGCCACACTTTTAAAGGGTACGTTTTATGCCTTTTTCCCCCACTAACTTCTTGAAAGCACGAAAAACGCATGCAAGCAAAATCCAACGACAGGGCCCTGTTTGGGTTATGGATAAAAGTTTATTATAAAGAATATTAAAATGCGTTATAAAAATGTTTTCATTTATTTAAACAAATGAGCTAACCCCACTAACTTTTGCCTTTGAGTATATATTCTGTGACTGAGCATAAATCTACTGTCGAACTAGCAGGGGTGAGAACACCTGCAACAACATAACAGTCATGCCTTTGCTGAAGGGACCTGTTATAAAGATGCCTGTGCGAATATTATAAATATACTGGACAAAATAAGTACGGACATTGGTATTTTTATGATTGATATTTTATCAATGTGTCAATGAATAAATACATCGTTATTCATAATTTCAAAATGTACATATATCCCTAACTATTTTTGTCCAGTATACATTGACGACATTTGAATGCACTGAACAAGCTTTGGTGTGGCGAATTGGTTCGCATTCAAGTTTGCAAGTCCTATTTAGCCACGGGTATGCTTTTCTATAGCTTTGGTGTTGTGATTCAAGGTGGCTAGTTGTAAGCAGCTATGTGCATGCCTGCCACACCCACATTCTTTCCCTCACAATGCCGACAAGTGTTCGAACCACCGAACGCTGCTCTCCAACAGACTCTCTTTCCACTAAACCCGATGGCGATCCTTCATTCTAGTAACTGTTTGGGCAGATTTGCTCTTTCTAAAACACCTAACACCAATATCATATATAATGTTTTTGGGCTATTCTTATGGCAAAAGCCATAGTTTTAGTCTTTTGCCCTCGATAATTTATAATATACACCTGGCAAAAAGATCGGAACTATGAGTATGTTCAAATTCAGATTGTGTATGATGTACGTATGATGATATTGCTCATTTCAGAACTTATTGTAAGCCTATACATGTTTATTCCGTCCCATGCCCCCAGTTATCTCACTTATAAGTTCATAATCATGTTTCGCTTTCATGATTTTCTGTGTTTTACCTTTATACTAATTGTGAGTCCATCTGAACCATCTCCTCTACATCTTCATCTGGAGGAAAAACTGAAATATCAATCAAAGGGAATAAACCAATATTGTTATTTAACCATGCCAATTGTCTAAAATGTTACTCACATGGATAAACTTTAAAGGCATGCACTGAAGGAGTGAGTGAGCAAGAGACAATTATGTCTTTAAAATCAAAATCAACAATACCACACTGCAAGGTCTTAATCATGATACTTCTTCCAGTATGGATTTTTAATGCTCTGGGGGACTGAGGAGGTTCTGATCACACTAAAAGTCAGCTGAATGTGAAGGGTTGTTATTAACAATGGGCATACAGCACTGTCTCTAAATTATCAAGTCTGGACCAGATAATCCATTGAGTGACAGCATGAGCATTGATCTACACAAGTGGAATACAATGACATGTGTCAACCAAGTAGGCAAACCTGACCAAACCAATCCCACCGTCGCCTCTTACAAAAGGCATGGGTTGCTAAAGAACAATTCTAATCGAGATTTTCACGAGTAATTAACGCACCATTGTGTTATAATAAATTGTAACAGATAAAGAGTAATTTGGGGACACCGAACACTTCATAAGAAGATGTTTCTCTGATACTATTATTTGTCTTCAAAATATGTACAAATCAGATGACTACTAGGGGTGGGTATTGCAGAGAATTTTCATACTGCGATATATTGGGATGCGGAAGCATATATTGCGATATGTATTGCAATATATTGCAAGGATTAGTTTTTTAACAAAAACTACTTATAATAGAGTTAATGCTTGATTATAAAGCAAAAACACAACAAAATACCGGTAACTATGATTGATTAACCTTTTATAAAAACTTTTAATCATGACAAAATAAAAATGTAAGTAACATTTGGCACTAATGAAACAGGGAAAAGAACAATTGAAAAAACAGAAATATCTGAAGATTTCGGAGCCTTATGAAGTGTTTCGAATGCATGTCAAAATACCGGTTTTCGATCAGCGTATCGCAATACGTATCGTTTTCATGTCTGAACCGGTAAATACCGGTAAACCGGTTATATTGCGCAGCCCTAATGACTACTGAAGCAATGGTTGGTCATCTGGTCAGTCTCTTCAATTTAGAACCGCTGTCTTCTGCATTGCACTCACTCTTCAATTTAAAAAATGCCGTCTTCTGCATTGCAGCAATGGTTGGTCATCTGGTCAGCCTCTTTAAGGTGGAACTTATTGTCTTCTGCAAGAAGGTCTTGTGATGTCCACAAATATGGCCCATCATTGCTACTTGCAGCGGAGTCCACTGAAAACAAAATCACAAAAGTACATCATATAAGCGTCTGACTATTGTTAATAATCATTGATATTCAGTTCAACAATATTCAACAGTATTCTCGTAAGCCTAAAATCTCGTAACTTTTCTCGAAGCATTCGTACCTCATATACTGTAACATAGGAGGTACAAATGCTATGAGAAAGGTTACGAGATCTTAGGCTTATGATAGCTTTGTGAACCAGGTCCCTGGCTGATAATGTTGTCATAGTACTCACATGGATGACACAGCATCCTGAAATACATTCTAGACATGGCAAACCAGTGGTTGATATCAATGGGTACCACTGACCCATGCTACTGACTTAGGGTCTTTTCCACAAAGCAACCTTAGTGCTGTTTGAAAGTATGGGAGCTACAGGAATGGATTTCTTTGATGATGGATTTCTGATCATGCTGTCATACCACGGGTTATCAAGTCTGGACAGGAATACTGACTTTGAATAATCCAATTTATCACAAAATTATACCATGAATTTTGAAATTACTCAATTCTGATTGGTTAAACAAAAGTATCAAATCACAATAACCACAAAAATTCAGACTGAAACAGCAAATGTGATGGTGATGAGTGTAATATTTGTTTAAATGTACTACTTTCTTTGTCATTGTTGGCATTCATTTAAAAATAATTACATCAACTATTAGTTTTAATAAACGGAAGATACTGAACTTAAGTGTATATGGAAGGTTTCTGATGTGAAAATAACATTCATATTCACCTGTTTGGCATATTTATTAACAAAGCTCAACAGCAGTTTCCCAAACTTTAGATTGCTATGGAACTGGTTTGCAGACCGAGACAAGCAATCCAAGATGGCTGTTGAATCTTCTTCATCCAAATCAGGCTTGGTATCCATAGCAACATGAAGAACGGTAAGTGAAGGCTCACTAAGCGTCACAGTCTGTCTGACAAACATCCTGCAAGCCAACATTTTCAAAAACTTTCATCTATTGTATTCTACAATGTGCTTTCTTCCGTAAACTGATCAACATCACTTATTGACATACAAACATCAGCAGCTTGGAAAACAGATTTGAAACAGAGGTATTTATAAATGTTTACAAACATCCTATCAATAGTCTTACATTTTCTTTCCATATATTGTTGGGAATTTTAAATGTCACCTGTTATGCACTGCCTTACAAGAGCATTACCTGAGCAGATAAGCATGATGGCTCGGCAACAGAGAGTCTTTACACAGACGACAAAGAATCTCACTCTGGGCTGCACCTGGGATACAGAGTAGGAAACAGATACTTCTGAGTGAGTGAGTTTGGTTTTACGCTGCTTTTAGCAATATTCCAGCAATATCACGGCGGGGGACACCAGAAATAGGCTTCACACATTGTACCCATGTGGGGAATCGAACTAGGGTCTTCGGTGTGAGGAGCGAACACCTTAGCCACTAGGCTACCCCGCCGCCCCAGATACTTTTTAGTGTGAACAAACCAACAGTAATGCAGATCTGGTAGATAAAACATTTGGATTATTCCAAGTATACTTTTCATAGAAATATACATTATGGACCACTTCTAAAATGGGAGTCAATTCTCCACCTCTGGGCATCTGCATACCACTTGATTTGTCTTGACATATGCTTTAAGAACTCTTCAGTTACATCATAGTGGACAGCTGGCACAAGTAACTTAGTGATTAGGCCAACTGGGTGTTATTATAGCCATGTTCATGGATGACTGGTCATGTTTCCAATAACTTGTCTGTCCGGTCTAGTCATGATTATTTATAGGACGCCATTACAGAGTAAGAATGGTGTTGAGCATAGGCTGTGCATCGTCCAGTACATCTCGAAATCCACCCACCTAATTCCTGTACTACAGCTGGAACCACTATAGCATCAATGAGTTGATGAGGGAAAGTCTCGGCCAGTGAGATCAATGTGTCCTGCAGCGTCCTCGCTGCTGACTGCTCCAGGCTCCTCACCTAAAGTCATGCAGATGTTTGTACTTTTCCCAGAGATCTCAACCAGCAGTATTCGTTTGTTTTGTTGGTTTGTTTGTTTGAGGAACACTGCACTGCAATATTCCAGCTATATGGCGGCAGTCTGTAAATAACGGAGTCTGGACCAGACAACAAAGTGATGAACAGCATGAGCATCAATCTACGCAGTTAAGATTCAATGACATGAGTCAACCAGATCCGCAAGACTGACTGATCTCAACAAGATGCAATATTTACCATATTAAGGGCCCTGCTTCAATGCGCTCCATCAACCAATATGTAAGTAATCTGTAAACACTCCTATTAAGACCAAAACTTTGCATTATATTTTGTGTACTATTATATGGATGAGGATGTATTTGTCAAAAATACTCTGTAAGTAGGATAGTGGATTCTGAGGGACTATTTGAATCATTTTTTCTTATATTGGCACATATCACAAAAGTGATTGTTGACCAAATCCATGGAACACTCATCCCTGACATGTACAGATGTTTGGAAAAACAGAAAATATCATTACCAAACTGCCTTGTCATTACTGTTGTGTGTACACTTTCACAGACATTAGAACTAAGTATATTTCACTACCACTCAGCCTCTGAAAACAAACTTGACCCTTTGCAGTTGGTTTATTGGTCAAGTTTTTAAGCACCCAGGATGCTTATTATGGCACATTTGCTACAAGGACGCTATTTACAGAACTTGATTTAACTGGCACTATGTACAAGTTGACATGAGAACATACTTGCACCAGACAAAGCATGGCATCACCCTGGTCCCATGAAACTAAATTAAAACAAGAATGCATAAACCTGTCAAAATAGTTATAATCTCAAGTCTCAGGACACTGTGTCATGATTTTATATACATTTATTATGTAACTCTTCATCATATCCTAGTTGTGTAGATCAATGGTCATGGTGTTGATCACTGTTTGTCTGGTCCAGACTATTTACAGACCACCGTCATATAGTTGGAATATTGCTGAGTGTGGTGTTAAAAAACAACCAAACATAACTGGAACATGTACACAAAATGCTTGAAGGACCCACATTTTAATGACTTCCAAGAAAAGCAAATTACACATAACACAGGAATACCGTATGTTAAACGAGTGTGTTTAAAGATTGATGTTGAGCAGACAACGAAGGGTTGGTCGTCTCACTTCGTAAACACCTTGTTATTTGTTTATCACGATGTTCTGTAAATGAGTGTCATCACCCAATAAATGAACAAACGGTTTGACATATTCTGAATCAATCTGTGCAATTCAGATACCAAGCCAGGTATTAACCAAGTCAGTGAGCCTGACAACCTGGGTGCCGTTGTACAAAACAACCTTAGCGCTAAGATACCTTAAGTCTATGTTAAGGTATGGGAGTTACCGTCTCTAAAAATCGTTTTGTACAACGGCATCCTGGGCCTCCTTTCAAGAAGCAACCTTTACTAAGGTTAACCTTAACTCCCATTCTTTAACATTGCACTAAGGTTACCTTAGTGACTTACGATCACCTAAGTGCTTTGGGAAAGGAGGCCCTGATCCTGTTAGTCAACACTTATGAGTGAGTTGCTGAAGATCATCCCAAACCCAGATGTTCACAGCAGTAAAAGCATGGGTCGCTGAAGACCAATTCTAACCAGTATCTTCACGGAGAAGGATAATACTTACAACGGCCAATTGGCAGTAGCATCATATAACATGTTTTTTTATAGCTAACATTTTATCACATGAATTCACCTTATCAGTGACTAGTCCAGCCAACAGAGCCACACAAGATCTGTATGTCACGCTGTCGGACATCTTGACCAGCACCCTCCCCACGACGGCCAGGACTTGGTCTGGTAGGTTGGTCAACTCACTTGCTCGGCACAGTGCAGTGAGCTACACAAACAAGATTGCATGAGTTTACTTTCTCACTGCTTTGAACAATGAACAAAAACAGAAAGCAGAAATAAGAGAAACATACAGAGATTCTCTTTTTAACACGAAACATATCAACACAATTCTAGGAAAGTTAATAACTCTGAGGCTGGGTATTAAACTTTCATCGACAAGTTTATGAACCTCATATTGAAAGACACACAGGTGGGATTCTGGTTGTCAGCGAAATTTGTCCATCCTACTTGAACAACTTTAACCAGCGTCTTGGGTGTTAAGCATACAGCTAACCAGCTAACCATTATGATGCAATTTCATTGTTGTAATATCTCCTGTGAGATATTGCATGATCTCATCCAAGCAACATCTCCTGAGGAAGCCAGTTCTAGATGATAAACCGACTTTTCCTGACAAGTAACCAGCATTGTGTAAAAATGTCAGACATAATACCTTGCTGGGTGGTGTAAGGAGAAAGGTTCGAAGCTCCCCTTCAATGCTTACACTGTCATCTGCAGACCCCAGAAGAATCTCCCGCAGTCTAATACCGTTATCCTGAAAATATAATCAGTTGTACTTACTAAACTTGTAAGAGGCTAGGAATTCTTGTCCAGCCATATATTCTTAGAATTGCTCATACAAATTAATTCGGACACTTGAGATATGGGGAGGATAAATGATAAATTAACGTTGCATTGAAGAATTTTGTTAACATACTGAGATACAATTGAACATGAACAACCCGATCAAACACACGACACGCAGTCCGAATCTGTTTCATCCCCTTTGAAAAGTGACTTACAGACTATATACTGATATCTCTCTCACATATCAGATAATATTGGGTATATACCACAGTGTATGATGTAGCGTCTGCCCGGCGTCCCGCTGCTTGCTAGTTACATGGCGGGCTTACAACTTTATTTTATAGCCAGCCCTGTGGGCCAATACATCTTCCACGGGTATATATTTGACCATGTCATTGACTACGGGAAATATTTCAAAATAATTTACAATTGTGGTAGCTAGACGACGTCTGTATAGTTCATGATCAATCAAACCACAACTTCCACAAATCAGCTTATCCCTGTATCTACACTAAATGTGATTGGTCTAGAGAATGCTTTCAGCCAATGAACAATGTTGTTCTTATGATATAGTATGTAACAATCACACATCTTCGAATATTTCAGTGAGCAACATTGTCTGTCGTTAATAACGGACAAGATCACCCTAAGATATTGCGAATGATCAAATATGGTGGCGCGCCCATAGTCAGGTCTGTTAGTGTTTAGATCATAATGCTATGTAAATTCCTCCGACTCCCAGAATGGGTAAAACGCCCACTAGAAGTCGACAACAAACAAACAATAAGGAGTATGATGTGACCAAGAGGAAACGGGTAATTGTCCCATCGTGGAAAGTACAGTTTGACTGGCTTACAGTTGACGATAACAAGGGCAAAATGTATTGTCACGGTTGCCGGGGGGCGTATGGCCCATTAGCAACACAACAAATACCATTTAAATTTCGTAAGTACAAAAAGGTAGTTTTGTAGCTGTAAGCACAAATCTGAAACATGATTCACTGGTAAATCACCAAGGCTCAGAAGGACACACATATGGCATTGGCACCTTATCTCAGTTTCCTATTTTTAATAAAGGACTGGTTACATGTTAACAGGGCCAGCAACATTTTTCAGTTATCAGCCCTGTGGGATTCCTGTTTTTTTCAGGAGTTTCATACACTGGTATATGTTTACACTGCAGGGTATAATTTAAGGTCCAACTTTAAAACATAAAATGCTAACAGACTAAGGATGTAGGTTAGGATCACCTGCCTTGTACAAACTGGATGCATGCAAACATGACATAGATGGTTCAAAAAGAGACTACTGATGTTTCATCTGTGGCAGTCATAATTATTGACATTAGAATCAGAATTATTGGCGACACTTTTAGAAAAACAGTTCACAATTAATATCTGGACATGGCACAATATCTGAGCCCAATTGAACAGCTCTGCTGAACAATCAAGTCATCTAAATACAGGCATGATGGAAGCAGATTGTTTTTACCACAAGTTCTTGGTCCAAGTCACATGTCTCTTTATCACAAGCAATTGCAGGTTTCATTTCTTCGACAGCTGCAATAAACAGCAGAGAAAATCTGTCAAATACACGCAAACCTACATATAAATTTGAATCCTCAAGAGCACAATGAACTATGTGAGGTGACAGGTATGACATAGCTGTATTCCTCAGATGGAGTGATTATGTACTACTTCAATGAATTTGTTTATGGAACAAGGACTAGTGTTAATGTCAGTGTCAATTTCATAATAAAGTGAGTCAGTGAGTTTAGCTTTACGCTGCTTCAGCAATAACACCGCAGGGGACACCAGAAATTGGGTTCACACATTGTACCCATGTGGAGAATCGAACTCGGCATTGGCGTGACAAGCTAACGCTTTAACCACTAGGCTACCCCACCATCCCTCATAATAAAGGCACTTATGCTTCTTTGGAGAGGACCATGGGTAAGACTGCAAAAACATATTTGCGTTACGTATTACAGTTCAAGAAGATTAATCCTGAAAAATAAATCACATAATACTATGACATGTCCTGATCACAGTTAACTATGATGTTTGATTGGCATTCTAGAAGTTGGTGAGTCAGTAATACAACACACAACTTAATGGATAACATGTTTATGTTTATTGCATAGAGCGACGTTTCGGTGTGAAATCTTAGGTTCTAACAGGTTCTTTATGCTTTATTATGTTTATAATCAACACGCTCATAACAATCTGACAGATAAAAGCAACTGTTTTCGTCCCCGACACTTGCTGTTTAACAAACCACGGTTATGTTAAAGTATAATTTGTGGCCCCTTTCAGTTCATTATAACCATACTTTACTGCATTGCCAACCTTCACTTTTTATTTTCTTGGCTGTTGGTGGTTCACATCCATCTTCATCCTCATCCAGGATAATTATGAAGTCCGGATCCTCCTCTCCTCCACCAAGAGCATGTTTCTCCTCCTCTCCACCTTCCAAGACAGGATTCTGAATCCCCTCACTGACTGCGGCACCACAAGCACCTGCTGTTTTGGTCACCACCTTGTCAGGAGATTCTTTAGAAGCAGTGACGTATGCGCCAGCTGGTGACACTAAGAACACAAAGACGAAAATATTGTTCAACAAAAATTACTGTTATCATGTGTCACTGAAGTTTATGGTGGTGTTAGGATCCACATCACATGCTAAATACTGTGATATACATAACATGGATGCCAGGAAACACTGTAACTGACTGCCAGCTCCAGCGCTCCTCACTATGGACTGTGTTAAGTGTGATCCAGTGTTTGCCCTAGGCATAAAAGATTAAAATTTTATGTTTACACAACTTGTTCAAGTAGTTATGACGGACAGTTAGACCGTATTTTCTTCTTCACAACTTGTTAAATAATGATATAGTTACAAACGAATCACTGGTCACCCGGAAATGCCCAGTATACTAGAACCTGTCATGGTGGAAATGTTCAGTATACTAGCACCTGTCATGGTGGAAATGTCCCGTATACTAGAACCTGTCATGGTGGAAATGTCCCGTATACTAGCACCTGTCATAGTGGAAATGTTCAGTATACTAGCACCTGTCATGGTGGAAATGTCCCGTATACTAGAACCTGTCATGGTGGAAATGTCCCGTATACTAGCACCTGTCATAGTGGAAATGTCCAGTACACTAGCACCTGTCATGGTGGAAATGTTCAGTATACTAGCACCTGTCATGGTGGAAATGTCCCGTATACTAGCACCTGTCATGGTGGAAATGTCCCGTATACTAGAACCTGTCATGGTGGAAATGTTCAGTATACTAGAACCTGTCATGGTGGAAATGTCCCGTATACTAGAACCTGTCATGGTGGAAATGTCCCGTGTACTAGCACCTGTCATAGTGGAAATGTCCAGTACACTAGCACCTGTCATGGTGGAAATGTTCAGTATACTAGCACCTGTCATGGTGGAAATGTCCCGTATACTAGCACCTATCATGGTGGAAATGTCCCGTATACTAGCACCTGTCATAGTGGAAATGTCCAGTACACTAGCACCTGTCATGGTGGTAATGTTCAGTATACTAGCACCTGTCATGGTGGAAATGTCCCCAAGATACCAGAACCCTGTCATGGTGGAAATGTCCCGTGATACCAGCACCTGTCATGGTGGAAATGTCCCGTATACTAGCACCTGTCATAGTGGAAATGTCCAGTACACTAGCACCTGTCATGGTGGAAATGTTCAGTATACTAGCACCTGTCATGGTGGAAATGTCCCGTATACTAGAACCTGTCATGGTGGAAATGTCCCGTATACTAGAACCTGTCATGGTGGAAATGTTCAGTATACTAGAACCTGTCATGGTGGAAATGTTCAGTATACTAGCACCTGTGATTGTGGATATGTTCAGTATACTAGCACCCGTTATGGTGGAAATGTCCAGTACACTAGCACCTGTCATGGTGGATATGTTCAGTATACTAGCACCTGTGATTGTGGATATGTTCAGTATACTAGCACCTGTGATTGTGGATATGTTCAGTATACTAGCACCTGTGATTGTGGATATGTCCAGTATACTAGCACCTGTGATTGTGGATATGTCCAGTATACTAGCACCTGTCATAGTGGATATGTCCAGTATACTAGCACCTGTGATTGTGGATATGTCCAGTATACTAGCACCTGTCATAGTGGAAATGTCCAGTACACTAGCACCTGTCATGGTGGATATGTTCAGTATACTAGCACCTGTGATTGTGGATATGTTCAGTATACTAGCACCTGTGATTGTGGATATGTTCAGTATACTAGCACCTGTGATTGTGGATATGTCCAGTATACTAGCACCTGTGATTGTGGATATGTCCAGTATACTAGCACCTGTCATAGTGGATATGTCCAGTATACTAGCACCTGTGATTGTGGATATGTTCAGTATACTAGCACCTGTGATTGTGGATATGTTCAGTATACTAGCACCTGTGATTGTGGATATGTTCAGTATACTAGCACCCGTTATGGTGGAAATGTCCAGTACACTAGCACCTGTCATGGTGGAAATGTTCAGTATACTAGCACCTGTCATGGTGGATATGTCCAGTATACTAGCACCTGTGATTGTGGATATGTCCAGTATACTAGCACCTGTCATAGTGGATATGTCCAGTATACTAGCACCTGTCATAGTGGATATGTCCAGTATACTAGCACCTGTGATTGTGGATATGTTCAGTATACTAGCACCTGTGATTGTGGATATGTTCAGTATACTAGCACCCGTTATGGTGGAAATGTCCAGTACACTAGCACCTGTCATGGTGGAAATGTCCTGTATACTAGCACCTGTCATGGTGAACACATAACAGTGCCAACTGCATGATGTAATTGAATGATTATGCTATCTCGTGAAGCAACACTTGGAACTTTTCAACTCCTTTGTTGACCTGACCTTTCTAATTTACATATGACTTATTTGGAATTTCGAGCAAATAGTTTCATTGCGAGATCATGCTATGTGAATGAGAATGAGAACAACCACCCATCTATCAATTTCATGACCCTTTTTAATTATAGTTGCCAATACCTGAGAATGTATTTCATGTGGACTTAAGATCCCTGAGACTTTATTTTTCAAACTGTTTGTGTCTTCATCTACATGTATTTTTCGCATTAACCTAATTCAAAGATGGCAACAATGAAAATAGTCCAAAATAAAAATAATATTTAACTAATACAACATGTAACTCCATATGGAAGCAGAAGTTTGAAATCTGGATGTCAATCCAGGATAACCCTGGAACAATCTGGAGGTGTCCCAAGATTGCTATGCAATAAGTATTGTATCAGGGAAAGAGTGAGTGAAAGAGTAAGGTTTTACCTTGCTTTTAGCAATATTCCAGCAATATCATGGTGGGGGACACCAGAAATGGGCTTCACATATTATACCCATGTGGGGAATCGAACCCAGGTCTTCGGCGTGACGAGAGGACACTTCAACCACTAGGTTACCCTACCACCAATATCAGGGAGAGAGATCTGATTTACAAATTTCACCTTCTTGTCCAAGAAGTGCCATGGTGGGATTCACTGTGGGTGTAACACCAACATGCTCAGCCAGCAGCCGCCACAACAGGGTGGTCCAGGAGATGGTGGTGTGTGGAGCTTTCACCTCCAGGACAAACTGTCTGAGAACCTCCATTTTGATGTCCCCTCGATGCTGGAAGATGACAGCTACAATGTTCCTTTGAAGATCAGGGGGCAGGCTACTGTACACAGAACTTCTGAAAATGTTTCAGAACAATCAAATCACTTCTTGTAGTCAGTAAAATGCTATGTTTTTTCATCATCATTGTGGGCAAGATGGCAGACTGATAGATAAGCATCATGAGCAGGGACATTTGGTTTGTCCTGGAGATATTTTTCTGATATTGAGAAGTTTTTCATGTGATCATTCACATAGGTTAATAATCATTTCCTTTTGGTGTCTGATATAGTTTTACTCTGTCAAATATGTTAAACACCACTGATCAGACTTTTTAAACATAATTCTGCTGAATATTTAAAACTGCTAATGTGCTTCCCCCTGTGTGTGACATGTCACAGAAACCCACTCCAAGGATTGGCATTTTCATGAATACCCTGTGAAATATAGCGCCCATTTTACGCAGAGTTTGTGTCTGTGTTATATCTGAATTGGTTTTGTTTGCTACACTCTGCAACATTCCAGCTATGTGATGGTGTTCTGTAAGTACTTGATTCTGGACCAGACAATCCAGTGATTAACATCATGAGCATTGATTTACACAGTTGAGATATGTGCATTTAATCAATGCTCAAGCACTAGGTAATTACTCAGTGTGATATTGCAGAGTTAAGATATATTTTCAAATGTACTTGTACTCAAGCCACACAAACTAAATTGGGTGATTACTTTTGTGTGTATATTTTACACCTAATACACATCTCACCTAGATCCTTGTGGTATGAAGAATGATGTTAATTTTATGGATATAACTTTTATTCTGTGAAAGGCGATAGCCACATAAATTCTAATGTCGTTATCATCACTTGCCTGGACGACATTAGAATCTACGCCAAAACGCCACCTTCACAGAAGAAAGAAGTTATATATCCATAAAATTATTATCATTCTTCAGCCCTGGGGGTCAGATATTTGTTTTTCTAATTCACTTGCACCTGTTCCACAAAGCAAATCTTAGCGCAATGACAATAAGCCTGTGTTAAAATATGGGATTTATGATTACCTCAGCCCTAATATTGCTTTGTGAAATGGGGACCTTATTTTGGTTTAGAAACACAACATAAAATGGGAAAGAGATCATGATTGGCAATGATTTTTTGGCTACTTTCTGCATTCAGCTGGTCTTCTTGACATTTCACACCATGAAACTTCATAACTTTGAAGGACATCATAACATTTGACAGGACATTAAATAGGGTGAATTCTTGATGTCCAACAATGATCTTGGTAGAAAAGGGAGAGAACTCTGAATAGGACAGATACTCCAATCATGAGTTTCACATATGTATCACAGCTGATTAGCACCTCATTTCTAACATGCCTACCTCATAAAAGACATTTGTACTGTTTGTTTGCCATTATGAAATTATCATCTTGGACAGGGACAGGGGCATCCAAGCTATTGTTATACTGATCAATACAACAAAACAGTAACTTACAGCACAAACTTCTCACGGCTTCCTGAGACAACCTGATCCGACAGGAATTCTAGCAGAACTTGCCATATGCGCTTGAACATGATCTCATGTGAGTGTTGACATGTTCTCCTAAGCCATATCTCAGCTTTTTGTAGTGACCTGTCTCCTTCCAGAGCTGTAAACAAACCTTCCCACTGGCAGGGGTGGGTGGCCCCAGACAGACTCCACTTCTGGGACGTCATTGGTTTAGTAGCTGTGTAGATGGTAAGATAACAGAATTAATCAATACCAGTTACTATCACAGAGCATTATCTAGTTATCTGTTTGATGAATACAACATATTGAGGGGATAAAATTGTCCTGGAAAGTTTGGTTTTGTTGGGGCTAATGAGTGGTTTTGGGGTTTGGGGTTTTGTTTGCTTTGGTTTTTTGTTAGTTTTTGTTGGGGAAGGGGAGGTCTTCACAAAAAATAATGGAATTGTTTGGAAATATCAAATGTATATGGGGTTAAAAATAAACTTTAACCACTTCCCTGAAGTGTAGACTCCACAGGGGCCCTTATGGGTAACATAGATCAGCCATTCTCAGTTAAAATGTACAATTGCCAGTGGAAACTCGCGGGAAACAAATGTTTCATGTTCGGTAAATTGCATTACTTTTCATGACGTACAAGCATTTGAGAATCTGTTACTAAATATTCGGCACTCAGGCACAGACAATTACCCTGCAACAGCTCTTTATACTACTGTACCCTGAAGTGACAATGAAATTTACGTGACGACACCCAAGTCATAATGACCAGCTGCCTTTCAATTAGCAATACACTGACATTTTAAAAACAGCAGAATATCGATAGACAGTTTCACATGTCATCTATATGGAAAAGCAATATGAACATCCAGGCTGTACTTTTATTATGTCAGATATTTTATACTGGGTATGAAAGGAAATGCCATTGTTAAAACTGATAATGCTTTCTCAATGATAGTGCTAAAACAAAATTACAAGGCTTCATATTTGATTATCACCTGTCACTGTGATACTGTATTGTCAGGCAATAATTTCACATGCTGGTCCTTAATCCATCTTAACAGTCATCTGTGTAACAACTCATTCTTTTTTTTGAGTGACGAAATTACAATGTTTCATTAATTTTGATACAAATAAACAATACCAAATGACAAAAGGTGCAACTCTTAAATGCTTCTATTTAGAAGGGTTTTTTTTTTCCAAATAGACAACTAATTAATGAAACCAACAACTTATGGTTAACCTGACCATGAACATTATTAGACACATAGACCCTGATCAAAATAACGATTGTCACTTTAAAAATTACCAGTCAACAATTGCAACTTTAAATATAAATGGGCATAGGTGATACTATCATAAGCAAGGACCAAAGCAGAACTTTCAAAGAACATTTGACGTGATATGAATGTATAAAACATAGAAACTTGCACATGATTTAAAGCTGGTAGCTTAAAATCACTGGTTCCTGTGTTGTACTGGACACACCATTCTCATCAGACATTTCAGTCACTTCAGGCTCCCATGGATTAACTTCCTGCAGTCGCCTCATTCTGGTTCATAGTAGCTAGAATGGCTTTTACTTTTTCTGCATATTTTCTGACATTTCTTTTGTTTCTTTCTCTACATTTTTTTCTTTTCAGCTCTAGACAGTAAAATACTGGTCTGCTTATAATACTTTTAACATCGCTCCAATTCTTTCCTATTCCATTTGTTTCCCAATTCTGATTTTTCCCTTCTCTGTATTCTCTTTGTCTCTCTGCTTGAGATTTAGCTATAATAACTGCAATAGATGACCACAATTCAAGCAATAACGTATAGATTCCATCATTTAACATAATGTCACTTTCCAAACAATCCCCAATAAAGTATTGTAATTTACGTTAACAGTTAATATAGGACTTCATAAATGCTTTATTATTAATCGCATGCAATAACATCACTACATGTTTTGTTTTTAAGTATTATTATCATACCTACTGTGCAGTTTCACAAGTATCATATAAAGAACTACATCAACAATTATAATCAAAAACTGAAAATAGTTCGGAAAGAGTTCCTTCCGTTCCCCCAACCCTAAACCTAACTCTAAACCTAACCCTAACTTAAATTTTGGACTTTTAGTCATTTTGTGAGTTCTCTAGTAATTGTTGTGTCAAGCTTTGTTAATAATGTTAGCATATTTATACTATTATTTGGGATGGGGAACGGGAGTAACTCTTGCCAATAGTTTACATCTTTAAATTTAAATTTCCACGATCCAATCACAGGTTTACTGCTTTATCACTTGATAGGAAACCATATGTTTCAACATTCAGCTTACTTTATACAGAAAAGATTAATGTAGAGGCAATGACAGCATTTGTTTAACTGAGAATGACTGAGATGTCTATCAGTCAACGAGTGTTGGACCTAGGACGTATTATTTTCAGCAATACAAGCCCCTGTGTAGGCTGTAAGTAGCCGAGAGCCGCGATGCGGTCCAATACAGTCAAGACATGACCCTGCATCGCGATGCAGTATGGATCTCGGCTCGCTCTACAGACTCCTACATGAGGTACGAAACAGGTTACTTTTTACCTGTTGTCAGTGTTGACATTGCCTGTCACTGACACTCAAGTGAGAGATTCAGTTTTCACACTGTCCAGCATCGGCTCCGATACAGCGTTAATCAACATTATTATCGGCTGTCGCGAAATGACATCACGTCAAAACAGCTGACCACGCCAGCCCAGAGAGCCACGAAATCTGATACTAGTATTGCAAATATCCCGCTGAAAACAGTTTTCCTTACAGATAGCGCTTCCTTTTCATTGATGGGCGATGTGGAAGAGTTGCGTTTAAATCCGGAAACAACAGCGTTGTTATTACCGGGATAAACCTGAAATATTCTATCCCCTTCCTTCCCACAGATCTGTCTATCCGAGATACACGGCGTTATCCCCTTCACATGAGTCTGTAGTCGGCATGCTGTTTTCCCCTTTCCAGTTTGTTGTGTGCATGTTGTATGATTCATCCACTGTCAAGGACGTTGATAATCATGATTGTTACATGTTTTTATTTTAAAGACAGTTTTATTCAGTAAAAGGCCACTGGCCCATAATACAGTGAGTGGTCGAGTATGGTTTTACGCCGCTTTTAACAATATTCCAGCAACATCACAGCAGGGGACACCAGAAATGGGCTTTACACAATGTACCCATGTGGGGAACCGAACCTGGGCCTTCGGCATGACGAGCGAACGCTTTAACCACTAGGCTACCCCACCGCCCCCCATAATACAGACAAATGCATGGTCACACATCACCAGTGTCTTCTGCTATTGATTCTAATTTGTACATAATATAAAATTAGACTAACATATTTAACCACATCAACATTGGTAAATTGCATGATATTTTTGTGTAGGTATATTACGTACAACACGTACAACATACATTTTCAACATAGCGTACCTTGTAGATCCAGACATTTCTGTTTTATGGCATACATTTCAAAATGGCAGAGTATGACAAAAAAGAATTATGTAAAAAGGCTGTGGCATGAAAACCAGAAGGAGATGAAATTTTCATATCTACAATCTGTGTAGAGAAGATGCTTACTGACTTAACAGGAGCCTTGTGAAACTAATTTAGGGCCATTCATTTGCGGCTTGTTTCTGGCATTTGCATGTACTGACTGACTGAGTTTGGTTTTACGCCGCTTTTAGCAATATTCCAGCAACATCACGGCGGGGGACACCAGAAATGGGCTTCACACATTGTACCCATGTGGGGATTCGAACCGGGTCTTTGGCGTGACGAGCCAACGCTTTAACTACTAGGCTACCCCACCGCCCCCATTTGCATGTGTGTATGTGTAATGTTTAGTAACAATAAAATCAAGTTTAGTACATCGTTTTGTTTTCCTTTATAACCAAATTTGATATGTATTACATTTGGTTCTTAATTGATTCCAGTTTTATATTTGATCCATTTTTATGAGATTTCATTTTTTCGAAACGTGCGTTTCTTTTGCTGTTCAGTATATTTACTTTCAGGATATGAAGAAAACAGAACTGGATCAAACTTTTATCCAGCAAGTCTCCTGTGAAATGCCCGTTAGCTTTCATCTCTTCAAACAGGTTCATCCAAAACTGTATGCTTTGTCTTCTCAGAATGCCCCACCAACACTCAATTCTTTGATTATGCTGGCTTGTTCCAAGAGAAAGCTCACGTGACGATCACCTGTAGTTTCGCGCAGGACTTTTTGTAAAACGGCAACTGTTCGATTTGCAGTACCCATGTCACTGCGCAAGCATACAGGAGCGCCATTAGCATCTATGATAGCCTTTATGTAATATCCGGCAATAACCTTTGGGTCACTATTTGTTTTAGCAACTTCAAGCCAGATGATTTTGCGTGAAATCCATCGATACGGGCATTAATGCACAAACCATAAGGTGTTAGTTTGTCATAGGAATCCAAATGCCACCTGAAGTTTTGGCCATTTGTTGAATATGTACGTCTCCGGAGTCTCCCTCCAAGACGTATCTCCACACCCTCAGGATCCATCAGTCTTAGCAAGGTTCGCACAGTTCCCTGTTTGAGAACTAGTCCTGACTGGATGCATTTTTTTATGCATCCAGCAATAGCCATGCATCTGTCCACACAACTGTAACTGGTTCCCTATGAAGTCATATACATCCAGCGATAGCCATGCATCTGTCCACACAACTGTAACTGGTTCCCTATGAAGTCATATACATCCAGCGATAGCCATGCATCTGTCCACACAACTGTAACTGGTTCCCTATGAAGTCATATACATCCAGCGATAGCCTTGCATCTGTCCCACACAACTGTAACTGGTTCCCCTATGAAGTCATATACATCCAGCAATAGCCATGCATCTCTCCACACAACTGTAACTGGTTCCCTATGAAGTCAAAAACATCCAGCGATAGCCATGCTTCTGTCCACACAACTGTAACTGGTTCCCTATGAAGTCATATACATCCAGCGATAGTCATGCATCTGTCCACACAACTGTAACTGGTTCCCTATGAAGTCATATACATCCAGCAATAGCC